AGTAAATTATACACTACAAACGAACTACGAACACTGGTCGCTACTCGCTAGTTACATTATATAAATTAACGTGTAACTACATCGTACTCAATTGTAAATTTTTATTTATTTTCAAATTTTTTTGCTGAATGTAAATTAACTGAATACTCTGAGATACAATAAACGTATCTATCAAAAAACCCCAAACCATAATTTACGTAGTACATAACTATGACATTTTTTGTGGACACAACTTACCGAACCTGCGTTTTGTACCTCTGATCTAAATAATCTCATTTACAATATGTTTAAAATAGTTTATTGTTTTTTAAAACAACGAGCATTTCGTTATCATTAAATATTTATACTACGATGCAGCGCATTTAACACTCTCCTATGTCAGTTCCTTGATCCACACCCCACTCGTATATAATATTACCACACACCCCATACCATCATCGAGCAGTTAGTGTTTGGAGTCGGTGGTTAGAGAGGGGGAGAGGAACTTCTCATTTTAACGAATGCAAGTCGACTACACGTTCTCGCGGTCGACCTTGCACGAACGCCACGCCGCCAGGCAGCCACAGCAAAATGATATCATATATGATTATTATTATGTATACATCTACTCGCGCGTAGGACCTATCATTACGGGTCGTTTCAAAGACGAAAAAAAAACTTTAAAAATATTATATGTATAAAAAAACAAATGCAGGCTACACCAAAACGTCATAATGACACCGCACATGACGTGTGTGGATGCGTATAAAATAATATACGAAACAAGAAATCAAAAACACAAAAAATCATACACAGTCATTGAACGCGTGTCCGTGCGATATTCTTTTTTTCTTTTTTAAGGTTTTTGTTCATCTACAACCAAAATAATAATAATAATAATAATAATAACATACGCGTATTATGCACATGCAATATATTATCATAATATATAGGTATAAGTATTAGGTACTATATGCTCAATGTAAGTGTATAGAGAACGAAAACGTTTATGACAGTATACAATGATAATAATAATATGAATAATGTGAAGCTGTCGTTATGAGGACCTGTTTTTTATCCTTTTTGGTCGTCTTAAGTTTTTTTTTCGTATGTTTTTTTTTTTTTTTTTTTAACAAACCAGTGAAAGAAAAATTGTTTGTTATTTTCAGATGGAAAAATTGTTAAAAAAAAAAATATACAATAAAAAATTATGTGAATAATTTTTCCACAATTATCTAATTTCACACGATACCATAGTTCGCACTTTCGCAGTACGTTCGTCAGCGTGTTTAGTTATCGCTTAGGGTTACTAATGTACTTACTGTAAGCAACTACTCATTTATAGCGTATTGTGCATTACAATGCCATTGCAGCAGCTATAAATGGAGTGCGAATCGTTAACAACAGAAAATTCCCAACCAAAGAAGCTTTTACAGCGTGCAAAGATCTATCCAACGAATTTAATGTACGACTGTATACGACCATCATCGTCTCGAGAAATAGATTTTTTTTCTTCCGTAAACGAAGAGATACGCACATTTCCGATTCTCTATAAGAAACATCTAATGAATACCAATGAAACATAATTGACTCGGTTGTACGAGAGAGAGCTAGTATCGTATTTATATGTAAATGGTTTTCGTCGAGCGATAAGATTTCAATTTTCAATTTTTTTTCGAAGAGTAAATTGAAACTGTATGCAAATAAATATAATACAATATTTACGCTTTAACTAGTCCGTATTATTATTCACTCTTCGTGTGTGTATCGTAATCGTATATCATTATCATATTATTATTATTATTATTATTATTATTATTATTATTATTCGTTAAAAATTCAATAATATTCGTCGAAACATAATTTTCGCATATTAATATTCAAACTGTGATACAATAAACAGTTATATTGTTATAATCCAGAAATTTCGTGATTTTCATCGGCCATATATTATTTTTACTCATATGCCAAATGGATGATAAATGTGCACCCTTAATTATAATATTTTATCATGACGCCTTATTATATAAAATATAAATCAATATATTCTTGTATATAGCATTCAAACCATTTTTTATACACAAACTAAATTTCTTTAAACCAAATGCAATGATTCCCATGAACTGAATTCACTTATTCAATACGTCGAAATATGTTATTTGATATTTTTATTATTTATTTCTGAGTATTTTTTATTTATTTAAAAAAAATATTCATAAATATTTTTAAAATGTATATATTTATTTTATTTTACGAAATAATAATGTTTCCATAAATATATTTTTAATATTTTATATCAATGGCTAATTTTAAAACTGTTTTGCTTTCAACATTAAAATTATAGATTTTCATATTTCTTCTTTAATAAAACCAAATGCTGCTTTAAATTATTATTGAAGAGCTTTTATAAAATAATATTTGTTCAACAATTATTTCAGTAGCATACATTTGTAGAGCCTATTAAAATTTATGTATAAAAGTGCATCATAGAACCTGATTTCCTAATCGTGTTACTAACACAATGAGTAACCATACAGACAATAATTTAATATTTTAATTAATAGGGTAGGTATCGTATTAAAATATATTTATTATTTTTATTGTATTAAATATATTTCACAGTAATTTTCATTAGTGTATAAGTATTTACAAAAAAATTTCTCATGATCTAAAAATTAAAGTCGATATTTTATAATAATAATAATATTAATTGATATTACATTTCTCAAGTGCTTTTAATATTATTTTTAACAACACTAATTTAATTTGTAGAACAATAGTTCCTATTTCTTTGTGGATTAAATAAATCGTATAAAATATTATTTGTTTGTAAATATATAATAACTCGGATTAAACACTTAAAATTGGTTTGAAAACTAACAAAATACTTGCTATTTAAAAAAACTTGTTATGTACAATAATATTTGTTATTTTTCATTTAAATTCTCCTTGTAATTATTAATTAAGTATAAAAAAATGAACAAAATATGTATTAGTTATTAATACTTTTACTGATAAAAAGATTTATTTAATTGGTATCATACTTATTTTAATATACGCTATAATAGATGACATAAATTAACATTGTGGTATTATACCTATATATTATGTTATTAAACTTTTAAACAAAAAAAAAAAAGTTACTTACAATTGAGATGCGTTAAAAATGTTTGTGTAAAGTACAACCAAAATTTTATTATAGTCTAAATTATTAGTATTTTTAATTCTAGTGGCTTTTAAAAATGGTTTATTATCCCTCCCATCGTGTGTCGGCATTATTCTGAACAAAGGACTCGTAATGAGTCCTCTAGCTGCACTTCCCTTTTAAATGTTATACTTAAACATCCATCCTTGGTACGAGGGTTGTTTTTATATTATCGCTCCGACGTGCTGTATACACACACTCGAATTGAAAAAAATCACCAGTCTGTATCTCAATTATGTTTTTTTCAAGCCCCTCGAAAACCGTTTGGCGTTATATATATAATATATGTTTGCGTCGTATATAAAATAGGCGGAGAGCATTGTCAACAATCGATAGGGCGATAATTAATTTACACTTCCTTGAGTCGCCGCAGCATGTCAAGTAGAGTAAACGTGTTGTTTAATTTTCGAAAACCCAAAAGTTTTAATTAAACTTCCGTGAACAAGTGAAGCCAGTGGTTTGTCAGAAGTCTATTAAAACGCGTTTCATTATAATATAAACAGTAAACACCAAAGGTACCGACGCTTCAATAGAAATGTATATGATTTGCAATAAATATAATTAAACTCAATATTAACGAGAATATACTTCACCGACAAAATTTATTTATTTTTTTATAACACTGATAATGTATTTTTGCATGATTTGATCAATAAAGAAAGGTTGATACATAGATCAAAAATTCTACGCAGATTGTATACTCTAGAGATAGTATTTTAATCTGTCAGTATTTTTGAGCAAATGTGATTATCAAATACGTCGTGACGTTCTCCACAATATCTGAATAATCGTTTTAATATTATACAAGTACTGTTAGAACCCATTCGTGTCGTTAATTTAAAAAAAAATTTATTCGCTCCCTTGTCTGCATAATACGAATGGGTTAAATGTTTAAATACTACGCAACCCTCCATCACCTCCGCATACGAGTTTGCTCATGATTGCTATTTGTCAACAATAAATATAAAATTTACAATTCTAAGTTTTGACTACGTTATTGCGTCATGAGTGTATATATAGAGTCGTTATCGAGTATATTATACATGTATAGGTAGTAATAACCGTATATATAGTATATAAAGGTCCCTTTTCGCATGTTCCAAATCATTAAGTTCGAATATTCCCCGTCGTCGTTAATGCACGATATAATAAAGTCTAACCTCGTAATGAAATGAAATCACTTTAAAAAAAAAATAAAACTTTTTTGTTTATTGGGCGTATATGCGACTATCAAATTATATTTTACTGTGCAACGCATTATTGGACAGAAAATCAAATGACGTACAATATAATATCATAACGATGACGTTGCCCTTTACCGATAGATATCACGAAATGTCAACCTACGATTTGTAATCCTAATTTATAGGCTTGAACGGCTCGGTAAGTATTTGCCCCCGTGGCAAATGCTGAAAAATGTCATATCTGAAATAATAATTTATAATCGTATAAACACTTAATATACCCAATACTGATAAAAAATACAATATCATATCGTTTAATGACTTAAATACATGTACCTATCTAGTTATCACACATATTTTATATGAATGTCGGATACACAGCCACCAATGTAAATCACAAAGATAAAATTGCAACCACAGTTGATGTACATTTAGTACGTCTTGCAGCCCATGTAGAACCTCTTTGAATCGACTGACTTAATAGTGCCTATATAATATAATTATTGTATACTTCTACCTCATTAAAAGTTTGGGAGGGAGAGTAGTATATTTTTGAAATGTACGTGATTCGATTATAGTCCGTGGAAGATAAATCACAAACGATTATTTATTTTACCCTTCTTTTTTTGCAGGTGTCGGTGTCATTCTAGTGGCCATCAGCGGTATAGCGTGGCGCTTGACGGCTGGTCAAGAAGCGTCATCGTGCGGAGCAGTGTTCGGACTGGGTCGATCGTTGGACGACGCAGCCGAAGCCAACCGGCGGTTCGTGCCTAGACTGCCGCCGTCCTACGGCCGTCCACATCATCCTTACGCCGGTAAGAGTTTCGAAAATACGCCCGGCGTGTGTGCATGTCAAATATATCTCCCCCCCCCAATACAGAGCGACCGCGAAACGAGATGGCCTTGTGTTCTCGAATCATGTTTTAATTTTGATTTTTTTTTTCTTTTCATCCTTCCACAGCCATGATGTATCCCGAGTTCGAGTACAGAGCTCCGCCGCCATCCTACCAGGCGTCCATGCAGGAGTACCGGCTAAGGCTGTTGCTGTTGGACAGACAGACGAACATGCCGCCCGTCACGGCATCGCCGCCGCCGACGTACAGGTCGCAACCCGGCACGCTGATAAGGTGAGCCCCGATTGGTTTGTAAATTAAAAATGACGTGCGGTCAAAATATTACTGACGAGACGCCGTGAATTGCATATCATCGCGCTATTCAAACGACCGACCATGTAAAATATGTTACCTGTGTAATGTTAGAAGCGACGGACAATACATTAATAACGCGGACATCTCACGTTTTCGATTATTCGATGATTGCTTGTATTAAAAACAAACGTCGTACATAATATTATTATTGTCGAAGGACGCTAAACGTCCGCTGTTTGTTCAGATTTAATCGTACGATATATTATTATTATAACCGTCGTATTCTCGAGTGGATTTTCAAAAATATTTTACGTATTACGCATACCGTACACGCAATTATAAATTATTATTATTATTATTATTATTATTATTATTATTATGATCTGTGCTGCAGTAGGTACATTCGCAGCGCGTTCTTGTGAAATATCATTCTAAACTATTATCTGACGCGCGTGGTTTTCCTTGCAGCTATGATCCACGATTACATCCATCACTGTGATCGTATTTGACTTCATACACCGTATTATATTTTACACCTATCTGATATACCTGTAGAAATCTCCCAAAATTTACGATTCAGTAATAAATAACCTAGGATTTCATAAATACATTTTAATTTTCAAATATAATTTAATATACTCCAGCATATAATATTACCGCGTATTCTAGATCCTGTCAAAACTAAATCGAATAAAATTCTTTGTAACGGAACTCGAGATATTATTTATTCTGCGGGGTCAACTGTACACTCATCAGATATCATTACTCGGATCTTAGTACTTACATACAGGCTATAGATTAACTAAATAATATTTTACGCTTTTCGTGTAAGGTGAACGGTGTTATCATACCGGACACGGGTAATAATGCATTAATGTGACTCATATAGGTAATGCCAAAACTGCAATTAAAAAAAAATAAAAATAAAAATAGACCCAATACGTTTTAAAAATAAAATTGTCCATCAATCGGCGATAACACTGCACATTTCTTCGGACATTGGCGTTTTATTGAACATGTTTCAATTCCGGTATTACTTTCTTGAAACGATAGTCGAGTTCTGGCGTCTAGATTACCCGTCATCGTTAAATTTACACGTATGACCCTGACGATTACAATTACCTTACTAACTGTTGTTAATAGCTCTATATGTATCACATATTATATTATATCATTTTATTGACCGAAACGTTTTCGCAGAGGGCAAAACGTCTGTTGTCGCGGCGACTCCGGTGAGCTGTACTTGTACCAACCATCGACGCTGCAGATCAACCACCACCAGACCGCCGACTACAGCGGCCCGCCCAGTTACCGATCGCGGTCCAGCACGCTACGGCCAGGCTGCCACCTGATGATGGACCCGACGGCCGGAGCGATGGTCATCGGCTCGACGGCGGTCGGCAGCCACCACAGCCGCAACTCGTCCCAACTCAGCGCGGCCATGTCCGAGGCAGTGGGCGGCGGCGTGTTGACCGCCACCGCGGTGGACAACAAGGTGCCGCCGCCGCCGAACGCCGACGACGACGGCGGCGACGGTGGCCACGTCGGCATCGTGGTCGGCAGTACGGTGGACGACAACGTGCGCAACTTAGCGGTCGTCGTGGACGAAAAGACGGCCGACTGCCATCACATCGGTTGCGGTCCGGTCACCATCGTGCAGACGACGCCCGCCGCCAACCCTCCGGGCACGGTCATCGTGACCGTATCCAGCGCCAACAACGATACCACCAACGTCCGGTGCCGGGACACCGAAATGGAGATCCTGGCGCATCTGTAAAACGGACGTCCGGATGGCGATCGAACGGAATCGGCGTAACGTTCTCGATTTTTCTCCTTGACATCGCGCTCGTTTTCCGCTATTGATCCAACACTGATAATATTGTCGTTCATATTATATCGACTACCTATATTATTATCACTATTAATTCGAACCGTTTGCACGCGTTTTATTCGATATTTTTGTAACTTACTTATTATTTTGTTTTTATTATTATTGTATTTTATCGAATGATATATTCGAGCCATGTATATCAATTTAATTTTATTGTGACTCTTTTTTGCCGCTGTCCTCGCAAAAGAATAATAACATTTGTATCGGAAATAAAAACGATTCGCTTCGTGACTACTCCAACACTTGGCCCAAACGATTCTAATAGTAGTTTATTAAATACGTTCGGGTGCGCAAACTCGTTTAATTTTCACACTAGCGTTTATGCAAATATAATATAACCGGTAAAATTCAATGTTTATACATAATATAACTTGTATGTATATTTTTTTTTCGACTGCATCAAAGTAATTGACACAAATCATTGTAGAAAATTTGTACAAAAAATTCACTACTCCTAACCGTTGGCCGTATTTTCGTGATACGATAATAATATTTATAAAACACATCTAAATCATATGCAAAACTCGACCACCGTTGGTTTTTTTTTCATCAGACACCATCTATTCGTACGAAAACAATACACCTATTTATTGTTATGCATTTAATATTTTATTTTCTTATCGACAATGACTTATGAATTATCGGACATCCCATCGTCGTGGATTGGTATATTATTTATATATTTTTTAATATTAATAAATATTGTCTTATCTCGTGAGTTTGTTCCGTAATATTATTATAATTTGTTTTGAGTGCTTAATTAAAAATTGATGTCATAATGATAGTAGCTCCTAAGGATATCATGTATTTATAACCGTCTATTACACCACGATTTTGTTCGATTGTGATTCTTAGTACTTGAGCTGCGGCCTGCGAAGTGTTTAGTTTTTCAGTCCCCAACACTTGCAACGTTATAAAATATTATATTATCATGAATATTAATGTCACAGCATCATCCACGTTAATGAGTCTTTCCAATGATATCGTTCTAAAAACTAACCATTAAGTCATTTTTTTCTTTTAATTATTAAGCTCAAATCGTCTTGGTCCGTTTTCAATCTAATAGTTTATCAGAATTTTTATTGTAACCGACATGATATCTACAAATTTTGTGTATTTTCTAGTCACTACTCAATAACGAGTGTGACTAAATTATTTACAAAACCATGTTATTGTCATTTGTCAACAAGTATTGTGTTTTATGACTATTATTATTTTATTTTATTTTAATTTTTTCTTTGTATACAGTTACCTCATAAATAATTAAAACTATATTTTATAAATACTATTATTGTTTTTAGTTGTAGTATTGTACATAGTTATTATTTATTGGTGTTCATCGTATCAAAAAAAAAAAAAAAAAAAACAAATCAGCTGTGCTCCAAAGTATAATAATATGCAAGTCGTACAAGTGGACTTTAGTTTATAATAATACTAAATAAAAAGAGTTCAGAAGTAACTGACTAATGTGTATTTTGCTGCAACCTTAGATACTTGAATAGACTTTTATGAACTGTTGTTAAATTATTGCATTATAAGTATTGTTAAGTAATATGTCATGTTTTTGTTAACCATATTCATAGTATTAAGGACCTGTGAAGATATTGGATGTGATGTAGGCACTCTAAGTTATTTTTAAAAGAATATACATAACCTAATATATAATGATTTATTATGTGTATTTGGTATGAAATTGTACAAAATTATTGTGATTAAAGTGTATGTATAAAAAGTTTAATAAAACGACAATATACAATCATTACCGATTATTTTCATTTATTTTAAACAATAATAATATTATATTATATAAGTTAATTTCAATTTGCATACATGTACATTTGAAATAATTGTATATTGAATTATACTTAATATACCTACCTGCCGTACAATTGAAACACTAAGTATTTGTGTTCAACAACTTTTTTTAACTTGTTATTAATCCGTCAAATAATGATAAAATAAAATATTATAAATATTTTAATATAAATAATAAGAAATATAAAAAATTAAATGAAATCTGTAAAATAAATTACAGCTATTGTGTATTAAAATATTATTAATATGTAAGAAAAATCATATTTAACGAACATGTTAAATTGACGGTCTATTTCTAATTATTGGTTTAAAGTTGAGTTACACCAATAATTATAATTATTCCATACAGCATACAACCGTAAAAATGTTAAAACATGTCTACGGTTAAATCGATAAAATAATAAATATTTAAATGTTTAATATCTATATTATTATATTAAATTATGCATATTTACAGTTTTTACATTTCTGTAAATGTTTATATTTCAATATTATACATGTTTGTTAGACAACATGGACAGCTAAAATGAACTCAGTAAATGTATTGCGGTTTTAAGTATGATTACAAAACGAAAGAATTAAAAATATACTTAACTTATATAGTTTGAACACTGTAGAACAATTAACATAAAAACGAAGAACAAAAAAAATCGATTGTTGTATTTTTTCTGACTTATTCTGAGAACTAATGAAAACAAAAAGCATCTCCATTGAGTGCATAAATTATTCCTACTGAGTATTAATATTGTTTGTTGGTAATCAATAGATGCAGAATTCACAACTTCGGCCTCTTTATCTATTGAAAAGTAATAAAAAAAAATTATTGAGTGTTAATAATTATATAACTTACTGTTATAAAAATTAATATTGTTCTTTAAAAACAAAAGTAATAAACATTTATGTGATACCATATTATTATGGTCAGACAATGAAAAACGTCTGGATCGATTATTAAACTGTTTAAATTAAAAATAATTGTCAATTTTGTCAGAGAATAATTAACATTAATACAATAACTCATAGCCAGACAGCCGATCACCAAATACAAAAAAAACTTCAAGATAAGAAACAAAAATATTTTTATTTTTTTTTTATATAATGCGACTTTTACCTGTTTACTGTGAAATTATTATGAAATTAAATTCTAAAATATAATTACAATCATATACTTTGGTAAGTTCTAAAAACATTCTTTTCACATTATAATAAATACAGGTTAGATATTATACATGAGTATGTTTTGTACTTCAAATTTCTTTCGGTTTTCAATATATTTGTTTACCTAAGTTGTCCTAAACCCGTAATAACCTAATATTAACCTATATTTATCTAATCATAATTATTAATTTAAAGCAAATTTTGAAGATTATCACAGTCATGAAAAAACAAAATTTGCATTAGGTACTAATAAATAAAAATGACAAAAATTTTTCCAAAATCTATTTATTTTAGAAATATTGTTTTGTAATAAATTAAAATTAGGTAAAAAAATATTTTCAAAGACATCAATTACTTTTTAAATTACTGCTGTTAAAAAAAAAAATCACAATGTAATCCGCATAGAAATATTATAATATTGTCAAATCAGTTATGTGAAAACTGCTTGACAACAAAAAGAATTTATGTTTCTTAAATAATGTATTGTCAAATTTCTGCGCAGCTTTCTATTTCTGTACACAATACCCAATTACGGTAATATGCTATTAAATTCGGTGGCATTTGACATCTTGTTTATTTAATATATAGCTACGCATCAATATCGACGTTAAAACTGATCTCCAACTCAGTTTTTTTCTAGATGAGACTGTACAAATATTAAAACTAAATCCAAAAATACAATACCATCGCTTACTCATAAGTCGACAACTTTTTTTCTTGAACGTCGTATATAATCAAATGGTATTTGAACTATGTTTACTGTGGGATTTGTAATAAGTTAAACGCTAAATACTTATTATTATAAATTTACTACAAATTTTTATTTCATTAAACATAATAATACCTCAACGATTAGCTAAAAAACGCATACACATTATGTCATTATAATTGATACGGGATAGATAAAACTGTTTAAATATTGTATTACATTTTTTTTTTTTTTTTTAATATATTTGTTTACCTTATAGTTATTATTTACATACTCAACATGTATTAAAATTTGTTTTTCTTAAAATTTACCTCCTAAATTTTTAACTATATAATTCAAATGCATTGTAATGTTGGTTGTCCGTTTTAAATTTATGCGATCAATTAAACAAATTGATTTTCTTATTCGTCAGATGTAAACCAATATACTTTATATGTCCACACACCTCGTTATTATTTGATTTGCCCACAGAAAGTGATATTAAAAATACAAGTACAATTTTATCGAAATATATTCATAATATGTCAGTTAGTTATATTATAAAATGTTAATAATAATCTCTTAAAAATCTAGGCTGGTAGAATAAACATTCTCTCTCATCACTTTTTACATGCCATTAACTATTGTTACAACACATCCACATTTAAACGTAATCGTATAAATTTATTTAATTACAGTACGTCTTACTTCATGTGATAATTGATTTTAAAAAGATTCGTTAATTAGTATCAACAAATAAAAACCAAAATTTAGTAATAAAATATGTTTATAATGTAAGGTTGACTTAATAAGAATTATACACCAATAATTAAACCACTTTTCAACATACATACTCGTAACATTATAGTTATGAATAGTTTAAATTTCAGCTGATTATAATCGCCATTCAATACCAGTAAAATATAATATTAAATAATTTTAGTAAAAAAAAATTACTCAACGCTCAAATGCAATCAATTATTAATAGTGACTTTTCTAAATACTATATGTTTATACTCAATAATATGTATGTGTTTTATTTATTTTTCAAATCATAAGTAGTCAGGTATAATAATAACTATGAAAGTTAATTTAAAAAAAATTGTATGAAATTAACAAATTATCATAAACAAAATAACCTGTACCGATATGATCAGATTACGTAGAACTCACTGTGTATGAAACATTAAAACTACATAAGTACATAATACATGCACGCTTTAATAATTCTTAACGTATCTTACGAGAAAATATCACATTATTTATGTTGTTTAATATAAATTTATTTATTTATCATTTATTAATAAATATTAAATAGTGAAAGTCTTAAAAATTGTTTGAGCATTTTTCTAAATTAAATAACCATACGTTTAACGGCATGACTCATTGATCATCACTATGGATAATAATACACCTAAGTTTCAATAACATAAATTCAATAGGTGTCTATGGTAACAAACAATAATGCAGCTACCGAATTTACACTATACATAGCCAACTATAGTAAAATGTAAGCTTTAGTGTTTACTAGTACAGCACAAGTAGTTATTCTTCTATTTTTATATTTGATCATCATAGTGTAAATTTCAGCAATATGACTGAACAGGAAGATAAAATGGATTCGTCTACGATAAAAAAACTCGTAATTATAGATTTATTTAATATTACACAAAATTTTACAAACTATATTCAATTTATTAGAATCGATCAAATACAAAACTTGATTATAGCAACGAAAATTTAAGCTGAATTTAAGACTTTGCGCTCAGGTTTTTTGTTTATGCTAAATACAGAACATTTTATATTAATATATTAAACTTGTTTTGTAAAATGGTGAAATCAAATAACCTAAGTTTGACTATATATTTTAACCTTCAATATAATATTTTATTAAATTACTTATTATTTAAAATTATTTACGAGTAGATACAGTGTCGAATCCAGAGGGGGGGTAATAAGGTAAATACCCCCCACCCTTGAGCTTAAGTTAGGTTACTCACTACCCAAAAGAATTACATTTTGTTTAAATACCTAAAATAATATACATTTTTAATTTGAAAAATAATTTCATCTTACAAATTAATTATCATTTATCACTTACTATAAATAAGTATTTTTTATTATATTATATTATATTTATATCTATTTTTTAATGTAATTAAGAAAAAAAGTCAATATAATGTATTTTATGCAATTAATTCCAGGTAAATCGTATCAAGGCTTGTACATTTCTCCCGTATTTAAATAAATGTGATTGGTCCGCTGACATAATATCCAGCATTGAAGAATTTGTTAGTACGGATCGACAAATGATTTGTTTGTTTTATGAAAACGACATACTTAAAGCCACTTTTTGCATACCCGATGCTCGTACGGATTCTATAATGTGGTTTTTAAAAACGACCAATGGCGAACACACACATCTGAACAATTCTAATTTCTTAAAATTGATTTCATTCGGAAAAATAGACACACAAGTGGAGAAAACAATGTTTCTATTATTAGATTCTTTGTATTCTCCCTTTATATTTTCTTGGTCAGCCAGTATCCTTTATTTTTATAAAATAAATGTATCAAACGACGTGTTTTATTTTTATATATTGTTTTATAAGCTTTTGCTATTCACCCATTATTGGTTATTGAAAATTAAAAATGGTAAAAATATTTTTTCTTTAATTCACATTTATTAGGTGAAAAAGATCAATTTTTCGAACAATACAGAGCAGTTATCCAAGAATTATGTTCATTAAGATATAAATTCTTAGGAATGCCTAGTATTTACATTCCGACGATAGTTGGAAAATTTGATGAAACTTCTAAAAGTGTCAGTGAAGAAACCCTTAAAGTTCTAGAAAGTTAGTTTTAATACATTATAATACAAATACAAAAATTAAAAAAATATAAAATGTATAGAATAAGTTATTAAAATATAGGTATAAATCACTTAAATTAAATAATAACCATTTTTTAGTTATTTTTAAATTATCTATTTAATATGTAGTACTTTTATAATTTTATCATAAATTCAACGCATAGTGTTATTAATGTATTAACAAATATAGGTACATCAGTCGTTATATTATTAATATTATTATAAAATAATTTACTGCAAAAATTCGTTATAACACAATTTTTAAAATGTTTGAATCATACTCCAAGTTAATTAATTGATAATTTTTTTAGTAATGCTTATTCTCTATCCGCATTAAAAAATATTAAAGACAGGTATATAAAAATTAAAAAATAATCAATTATTTTACATGATTTAATATTTATGAATTTTAATTATTGTCTTTTAATTTAAACTTTTAATATATCATCACTTATTAACAATATTAAATCTTTATTTAGTTTTAATTATATACACTTTATAGTTATTAATAAATAATTATTATTTCAATCTCAATTATTAGGTAATAGTTATAATATATATACATGTATATTGTATATATTGAAGTGCAAAACTATTTAAAATCAACATTTAAATTTTTATTTTTTTAAACATTAATTATGAATAATATGTTTATATCATACAACCAGTTACAGTAGTAGTATGTACTATTAATTGTGTTTTAGATATTTTAAACGTATATACTTTAGAAATTCAAACATGCTTAATGGACACTGAAAGAGTGCCTACCAAATGTGAATATATGATGGAACATATTATTGATGAAATAAATTATTGGAAAACTAGACGTGAGTAAAACATAATTTTTATATTTCATATTACAAATTGATAAATTTGAATTTATTTATTTATGTTATATAACATAAAGAAATATATATTACACTAATACACTACAAAATTTTAAAAGATGAATAATAATAAAACAATTCATAATAAATCTTACACAGATAATTGTTTGTATAAATATCAAAATAAAATAACATTCATTTTTTTATTTTATTTTTACAAGTTAAAAAATTTTTTTAAAATATTATAAATAATATAAATATTTAAAGCAAATATAATTTTTTTTATATTAAAGAAACACAATTGTTAACAATTTTTACTCAAACCTAAATATAACATAAATTAACAATAAATTTTTAAACATTTATTATATGTTTTTAATACAGTAAGAAATTTACGGTTTATAACTACTTTATTAAGTTATAAAAGTGTTGAAGAAATTCTTACAATATTAAATCAACATCAATCAATACTTGTCCATTCGTTCAACAACGCTATGAATGAAATTAAGGTAAGTAAATATTGATTAAAGTGAGGTTTTAAAAATTTGTTAAAAATCATTAATTCAAAAGTTATAAGATTTATCTAATGCCTACTATGTTAATAATATCTATATATTAATAATATCAAAAAACGTAATTTCTTTATTTTCAAAAGTCATTCTTAATTCTATAATTTATTATTAAATTTGATAAAATACCGTTAATAATAATGGAAAAAATAAAAACTCCACTTTATTGCTCAAACTTTTCAATAAAAATTTGAATATTTAATTTGAAAATAAATTTATAACTTCATTTTTTTGAATTGAATTGAATTAAACTTTAAAAACTCGGCTTCTATGATCAAAAGTTTTAATTATTTTATTAACAAATGTACAAAAAAAACAAAACATATTAAAATAAAAACAATAATATAACACCAAACTTAACTTTTGTTAAACAATAGTTCAAAAATTGTATAAATTTGATTGCTTTTATCAAATGAGTACAAAGGTAAATAGTATTATTACCGAATATATCAACGGTCAATTCAATTAACTATACCTAATAAGTCCATTTATTAATCTATAATTTACATTTAATATACAGGTAGCCAAAGTAGAAGCCAAATCCAATCTGAATTACTTACAAATTTTATGGGACCCAATCATGAGCTTATACGATGTAAAATCACCAAATGATATATTACCAAGATTGCCAGACATATTTGTTAAATTTATTTTTATTTTTGAAGAATCGCAGTACTACAACAAATGGTAAAGCATCATGTTATTACAATGTAATAATTAAATGTAACGAATTAATTTAAAATAAACATTAGGTCCGACATAAGTCGTTTGTACGAATATCTAGGAAATCAAATTGTGTACATTTGTCGAAAAACCATAAAAATTTCGGAACTATTCTCTGGTAATATGGAAAGTGTTTTAAATAAACTGCAAATTTCGATAGATTGTTGTGAAAATTTTATTTCAATATACACTAAAGTAAAAACAACGATTCATTTTCTATGTTTTAACAACTGTTTGATTGTGCAACAAAATATTTTGTAGGTAATTGAAATTTATAACTCTAAAAATGACGGACACTGTTCGGTCGAAACTAAAGACGTTCATTTGTTTTTGGATCGCTGCAGAGATGTTAATTATATATGCAAATCAATTATTTTATTTAAAAGGTACCTAAGTTTATATATTTACTCGTATAAGTTATAGTATACAATAAACATATATATATATATTTAAATCAAAATATTTTTAAATTTAATTATTGAATGTATGTTTTAGCGGTCAACTCTATTACCAATATTAAACCTATCTATTATTAAATATATTTAATCTCTCGTGGTAAAACACTTTCTATGTCAACATTCTTCTATTTGTAGGATGGACGGAAAACACCCAATACCAAAACCAAAATTTTCATTTACCAAGGGATTAGAGTTCGAAAAAGTCATGGAATCCATAGAGTTAAAATTTAACAAATTGATAAGCAATTTGGAGAATGTCCAAAACTTAATATTCAACGTAAATATCACTGATTGGTATCAATATGAACTCGAGTAAGATTTCAGATCGCATACTAATCTATTTCCCATCAACGCTTTACACCCCGGTCTAATCCGCGTAAAAACGTTTTATTGGATTATGTTAGATTCAAAAACGAAGTAAAAGAATTATGCGATATAGTGGAACAGCTGTTAAATGATGCGATGAACATTACATGTAACATCGAGGAGGCTTTGAATGTTTTACAGAGCTTGAATTATTTTTCTAATTGGCCACAGCTGAAGCCCCATTTTCAAAAGAAAACAAACGATATCTACGCCATGTTAATCGATGATATATCATTAGCTATGCAATTTTACACGGACAACAGTTACAAAATACCATCTTTTATGATCAAATATTCGGGTATCTGCATAACCGCCATGACCGAATATAAAAGAATTGAGACGCTAAAAAATGTAAGAACCCGTGTTTATATTATAACCAATAAAATTATTAAAAACAAATTATTATAGTTAAAAACGTATAATGAAATTGAAAACGCTGCATCTGATTTATACAAACGAAATATTAAAAATTTATCTCTTATTAAATGACTGTCTTTAAAATATTTTGACAGTTTTAATCAATCTTTATAGTAGGTATATATACCAACTAAGTTCGGATGGTCGGATGGAGGGAATAACATTTTTAAAATATCATTACTTATTTACTGTAATTATTTCTTTCAATGTTTTAATTAGGTTTTTAATTTAAAACATTTTTAATCATAAACATTTCAGATGATATCAGAACGTCCTTGGTTATTACCATGTTCAAATAGTAAAAAACTCCATGAGTTATACAAAAATTATTCAATCGCCTATCAAGAATTATTAATTAACACGATTAAATCATGGAATAGTCAATCAAATATAAACTATGAGAAAAAACTAGATAAATATATTTTAGTAGGAAATCAAAATGATCAATTTTGGAATTTAACGATTAACATGGACTGGTATTTTTACAAATATTTAAAAAAAAATTTAACCATGTAAACACATATTTATTTCTTATTAGTGATGCATTTGAACTGTTAACTGAAATAGAATATTGGTCGTTGATTGGCTTCAAAAATATACTGACATCAAATAACATCGTCACAAATGCAACAAAAATAATGCGACTCCATCGAAATGCATCAAAAATAGTTAACGACTACAATATTTTAATAGCTGGTATTTTTATTTTAGATTAATTTTATACTTAAGTATTGAACATAAGATGTGATATAATATTTAAATGAGATAAACTAATTTTTTATGAAAACTATATATTATTATATTAGTACGAGTTAATTTATAATATTTTCATATTAGTTTTCAAATTATATTCTGTATTGTTATAAATTTTGACTGAAAAAATCGTATTAAAATAACTGCTTTACTAGTATTCAAAAATTTCATTTCAGTTGCCACCCCTAAAACAAAAATAATGTATCATAGGTGTCAAATGATTATAAGTCCATATCTGATTAGTGATTTTTTTTTTTTAATGCTAATAATACGTTACTATATAGTTATTATAAACCCTCTTTAATAGTTTAAGATACAAAAAAAACCCTTAGGTTAAACAAATATGTAATAAAATTATTAAACAAAATATAAATATAAAAAGTAGTTTCGATTAAACTACCCAACTTCAGTCAATTTATTTAACATTTTTATAATATTCTAAAATTCTACACTGTAATGTACCTATATTGCCTATACAATACGCCATGCCAATCAACATGGTTTATTTGAAGAAAGTCTTGATAGACATGAAGCCTAGTAATTTACTAAGTTTGAGAAAATACAATGGTTTTGAATCTAAAATATCAAATTCAAGTTAATTCGATATAGAAATGTATACTGTATAGTATCTAAAACTTAAACTCTCTCTAAAATGCTCTTAAAAATCACCAAAAATTCCTTTTGACCACAATAATTTGTTTGAAAAATTGACCAAACAATATTTTTTCCCGTTTTTATTTTATTATTAATATCCATTTTTTCTTGTTTAATATTCAAGAAAGTTTTGAACAATAAATCTGTTAACACAAAGTAAACGTAATCACAATGTTATACCAATTTTTAATAACTGACTATAATCACTAATTAATTGATATATGTTTTTACAGTACCAATAACGCACTATAATTATTTTATTAATTACATTTTTTGTACATAAAGTCATAAAATGTATAGTTAATTAATTGGTATATTCAATAAATATGTATAGAATATTGAGGTAAAAACTATAAAGAAAAAATTTCTGTATAATATTTTGAATTTTTTTATTTTAAATTAAAAACTCGTATAAAATATAAAAAATGTATCTGTTATTTTGTTTGATTCTTGTAATTAAGCTTTTTATCTCATTATATTTTAAAAATATCTAACGATAAATACTCTAGTAAAAAAGTTTAAAATTTATTTTAAACTCATTATTAAGTATAAATTCATGCGTAATATAGGTTTATCCGAGCAAGAAATGCTATTATTCAGCGAATCAATAGAGATGTGCAATAAAATTATATTACCAATGACTCAATCTTATTCATGGAAACAAATAGATATTGACAATTATTTACTTGATTGTTTTAATGAATTAGAATCGGTAAAGTAAATTTTCAGAAAAAACATTAATAGAATAAATTAACGTGTAACTCTTTCAGGTTCAATATTGTGTAGATAAATATAAATATTGTAATATAGAAATTTTAAAAGTTTCTGAAGAAATAGCAAATTTGACCCTTTTTAAAATAAACCAAGTGCAAGTTATGGAATTGAAAGAACTAAAAAGAAATATTGAAATAATCAAGTATGAATATTGAATATTATTTTTTTACATACAATTCGTGTATATAATAATATATATGTAAATCAAATTAAAAATATGTTTATACATAGGTATTAATTGATTCATTGAACAGTAAATATTGACTATATAAAAAACTATTAACGTTTTAGGTAATACTTTTTAAAACAATTTAAGTCATTACAAGAAAAATTATTTGAAAATAAAAAAACGATAATATTTTTTTTTTATTTTTTTTTTTAATCACATTTGTATATTTTTTTGTAAAATTTTTTTCTGATAATATTTCTAAATAAAAATCGAAATCCAAGCAATTAGTTTATTTGGTATAATTTATAATTATTTAACATTTAGGTAGTCGGCGAAGTAATATAAATTAGTTAAACACAAAATGTTGGTCCATTTCTTCGCTTATCTAAACTTCAAGTACTAATAACAATAATCAATTACTCGTTCGAATTCTAGTTTTTTCTATTTAAAAATGTTCAAAAATATTTTTCACTTCAAAATGTGAAATTCAAAAATGTATGTTATCATAAAAAAAAAATATATAAAAACTTAAACATAACTATGATAAAATATAGTTAATACTTTTTAAAATAATGAATACTTATTATTAAAGAATTACACTGTATAATAAATTGGCTTAGTAAAAAAAAAAATGTCCATTCACATAATAATTTTATTGTGGTGTTTTAAAATGTTTCAGAAGTAAAACTATAGTAAAAATTTCTGATAATTACAACCTCATTATTCAATACATAATGGTCATATATGAAGATTTTAAGGAATATATTAATAATGTATATAATAATATAGTTATACACTACCATTTATTATATTTGAAGTATAATGAATTCTCATTATTTTTAGCTCATGGTTTATTGGACACATTATGTGGAGAAAATAGACAGCCTTATATGCAAAGCATTGATACTCAACTGTCAATGTTCGTTAGAAAATATTTTAGAACTAAGTGTCGGTGATGGTTCAGGTCCAACACCAGTAATACTTATTCACGTGAGCTTAAAAGATAATAAGGTAATCTTAATTAAATAAAATAAAAAACTAAAAAATGTATAATTAATAATACTAATCAATTTTTGTCAATAGATTAAATACTTAGCGAGTCAATTAGAGATTCTATCGTTCTCAGCGAACTTTTTAACAGACTTATTAATGGCTGTTAAGTTATTACCAAGATTAAATCATATATTCCAATTATCGAGAAATAATTGGATTCCGTATGAAGATGAAATTTCCAAAGATTGGATATGTATCAAATTGCAAGAAAAATATAATATAGGTAAATAAAACAATATTTTAGTTTATTTATTAATTTAAAAATGCTTTCAATGTATTTTACATTCATAGCTACTATAAATGCTTTAAGACAATTAAGGCATTATATGCATGAGTTCTTAGTGTTTAAAAACATATGGTCAATAAATAAAAAATTGTTTTTTGAAAAATATAAGACTTTCAATTCTTCAGCAATACACTTCAATCAGGATATGACTCAGTAAATCATAGTTATTATTTTAAAAGGCTTTTTTAAATCAACATGATATTAAATTTATTTAAATTTACAGATATTCAATTTATAAACATAAAATATCTCGCATTAAACCAGTTGCCCAAGTATCTCATTTTCTGATACAGACTAACATATTAAAAGATGACATTATCAAACATTGTGATGAATGGAGGAATCATTTTTCCGATCTTCTTCTTGAAATGACGACAAATCTTATAGAAGGATTTTATCGATACATAAAAATTAACAGTCTTCAGTATATTAAAATTAAATAATAGTCCCGTATTGATAAAATTTGATAAGTGTTTGCTATTTTTATAGAGTGATGACGCCACCAAAAAATTTAACTGAAATGATTTCATTCGTTGAATTACGAAAAAGAATAGTTTTAGAGTACGATGATAAAGCTAAGGAATTTACATTAATTTCTGATAATGTTCAAGTATTAGGTACGTACAACTATAAGAATGATTATTAAAAATGATTTGATTTTAGAAATAAGCAATAAGTGTTATATTTAAATAATCATATTTTAAAAATTGATTTAAATTTTATTTTAGAAATGAATAATATACGAATGCCAGAAATAATACAAATTAAATATGAAAAATTATTTCACGTTTGGAATGTGTACAAGAACACTCTTGAAGATGCAGAAATAATGTTAAAAAAAAAACAAAATGATTTTTTGAAATCGTTAGAGAAAACACAAATGAACTTAAAATTAAAAGCTAAAGATCTATTACAAACATTTTTAGAAACCACACCAATTTCTACAAAATGGAAATCAAATGGTAAATAGAAAAATAATATTAATTTAAAAATAAATAAGTCAACACTATCTTTTTTTAAACATTCATATAGATTTATTTTAAATTTACTGTTCATCATAAAATTAAATCTTTATATTAATATTTCAATTAGAACTCTATTTTTTTATGTAATCGTTTAATACTTAATAGCCGAACAATCGCGTTACCAAGTGGTTTGAAAAAAAAAAGAAGAAATATTTAATACTGTATATTTACTGAGTATTTATTATAAATATGCGCATTAATAATGCTGTATTAAATTATTTTTAAGATGCTTTAATGTATATTGAACAAATACAAAATAAATTGGAAATATTAAAAACCGAAGAAAGACAATTAAACGCTGATCTTGCTATATTTGAAATAAAATGTATTCATTTAATTGAAATTGAAAAACTCCAGGAAGTAAGAAATTATATTAAATATATCAATTCATTTAATTTATCACTTATTAATCTTAAATATTTACTTTTATTAATTTATAATGTTTCCTGTATACTTTAATTATTTATAAGTATCTAATTTGTCACATCTTTTTTAATAAATTCAATTATTTTCAATACTTTTTAAAGGAAATATTAGTTTTACATTCAGTTTGGAAACTAGTCAATACGTGGGATGAAATTTGGAAAGACTATAAACAGGAACTATTTTCGCATGTACAAGTTTCCGATTTAAAAGTAACTGTGAACGCATTTCTTAATAAATTTAATACTTTGGTTAATGAATTAAAAAATAAAAAATGGGAGATAATAGAAACCACTCGTAATAATATTGATGACTTTTGTAAACTATTACCGGTGGTTGATGATTTAAAAAATCCAGCAATGAAAGATAGACATTGGGACGAAGTACGAAACATCATAAATGAGTAAGTATTAAATTTTCAAAAAAAAAGTAAATCATATATCAAAAAAAAAAAAATTTTAATTTGTGTAATTTATTAGAAATTTAATCGAGAAAAGTACTGATTTTACGTTAGAAAAATTAGTGGAAATAAAAATTCAAAATTACAGTAAACAAATTAGTGATGTATCAAGAAAATCAACAACAGAACTAGATTTAGATAATGTATTTCATTTTCAAAAAATAATAATAATAATAAAAGCATGTTTTAAATTATATTTCTTTTTGTTCTAAGGCTATTCAAAATATAAAAGAAATATGGTCCATTAAAATTCTACACTTAGAACCCTACAAAGATAAAGGTATTTACTATGTAAAAGTGAATGATGATATTTTTCAACTATTAGAAGATCATCTTGTGCAACTATGTACAATCAAGGCATCAAAGTAGATAATAAAAAACTACAACCCTTCGTGCTTATAATAATATTTTCTAATAAATTATGTTTGTAGATATATTTCTGTTTTTCTAAATGAGGCAGATTTTTTGGAAAAATCTTTAGGTCTAATCATGGAAGTTTTAGAAATTATTCTATCAGTTCAACGACAGCATATTTATTTAGAAGTAAATATTTATTTTTATTTTATATGATAATTGTATACTATACACTTTATTATATATTTTTTTTTATCTTCGATTATTTAGAATATATTTATGGGAGATGATATACGACAAAAAATGCCAATTGAAAGCATTGACTATGATATTTTAACAGAAGAATGGAAAGAAATAACCATACAGATGTATAAAGAAAATAATTTATTCAGAGCATGTTATTCTAAATGTATGTTGTTGTTTTTTAAGTGTGTTTATTTATGATGATGAATTCAAAATTTCGAAATTAATACAAATAAAGTTACAATGTTTATATTTTTAAAGCTTTATTCAAACATTTAAATACGATGAATTACCGCTTGGAAGTCATACAGAGAGCTTTAGAAGTGTATATGGAATCAAAACGTCACGTATTCCCTAGATTTTATTTTATATCAAATTGCGAATTATTAGAAATACTAGGAAACTCTAAAAATCCTGAATCTTTACAACCTCATTTAAAAAAAACTTTTTACTAATGTCCATAGCATTAAAATTCTTGTAAGTTACCACTGCATACCACTGCAATTTAATATTATAAATAATATGAATATTACTTAATATTTTTAGACAAATAACAGCCAAAAAAAAAGAAGCACAAGGTATGTTTTCTAAAGATGGAGAGTATGTAGACTGGAATCAAGCAGTGACATGTGATGGACCAGCAGAAATTTGGCTAAATTCGATAGGTAAATAAATAAAATATAACATTATTATATTCGAAAAAAAATGTATAATAAACATAAATGAGTATAAAAACTTAATATGTCTTACAAAATTATAGAAGATGGAATGCGCGTTTGCCTAAAACAAACATTAAAGCAAGTAAAATTGTCACTAATGAAAAATCTGAAAACTCGTGACAAGTGGATATTGGAATGGCCAGGACAATTATGTATTGTAGCATCTCAAGTAAATCAAAACGAATAAAGTAAACACAAAAAAATCATTATTCAAATGTAAAATATAATTTAGATTCAGTGGACCGCCGATTGTACCCGAGCATTAATACAATCCAGACATTTAAAACACAAGTATCCTTTAAAAAAAATGTATAAGAAACAAAAAAATATTTTGTCAAAGCTCTCCAAAGTAATCCGAAGTGATTTAACCAGTACTGAAAGATTAAAAGTCGTGGCTTTGATCATAATAGAGATACACGGTAGAGATGTAGTTGAATATATGTACAGATCAAGTATGCTATATTTAAATATTGTTTTTGAATTATTATTTAACATTAATAATCGTCATTTGATAAGAAATAATTTTTTTTTAGATTGTATGGACATTTCTGCATTTGAATGGATGTCTCAATTACGATTTTACTGTGATAAAAAATCAAACGATATTTTCATAAGACAAACTAATAGTAAACAATTATACGGATATGAGTACTTAGGCAACTCCGGAAGATTAGCTATCACTCCTTTAACTGATAGATGTTACTTAACATTGACTACAGCTTTACATATGCATCTTGGAGGAAACCTTAACGGTTCAACGTATACGGGTAAAACCGAAACTGTAAAAGATTTAGGAAAACATTTGGCTCAATTTGTTATAATCATAAACTGCTCTAAAAGTCTAGACTACAAGAGCATATGTCGCATTTTCTTAGGTGAATATTAATTTTATTAATACATTTTCTGATAATTTAAACCTACTTTCATCACAATTTATATTATATTTTTCCCCATTAAAGGACTTGTGCAACAAGGAGCTTGGGGTTGTTTTGATGAAATTCAACAAATAAAAATCGAAGTTTTGTCTTCTATTACACAGCAAATATCGTCTATATTTTCGGCTTTGTCTGCAGATCTAAAAAACATTAGTCATTGAAAACAGGACTGTTACTTTAGTGCCAACTTGTGGTATATTTATCACAGCGTGCCCAAATTATGAAAATTATTCTTACTTACCAGACAACTTTAAATCAATGTTTCGTTCCGTGTCTATGATAGTCCCAGACACTAAACTAATCGCTGAAACAATTCTTTTTAGTGAAGGATTTAAAGATGCTAAGACATTAGGTAACAAGATATTCATTCTATATTCACTCTGCAAACAGATACTAAATAAACAAAACTATTTTGAATACGGACTTCGGAGTTTAATTGGATTAATAAAATATGCTGGAAATTATAAACAGACAAACACGGAAGTACCAGATAATGAGGTTTATTTTATTTTACACGCAGCTATTGTCTATATTAGGTATATTTTAATAACATATTATTTTTAGATTATCTTACTAGCAATCCATAAAACGATTTTAACAAATATAAATAAAGAATATTTATCAATATTTACGGATATGATAAATAATTTATTTCCTGATATAACTCCACCTGAAATAAAATATGAAGTTTTAATAGATGCAATAAAACGTAGTATGTTGAAAAACAATCTCCAGCCAACCGATTCTGCTGTTTTAAAAATTGTTCAGTTATACGAAATAAAATCTTATAGATCTTCTGTTATAATAATAGGAAATTCTGGAGCAGCTAAAAGCATCACTTGGAAAACACTAAGGGATACATTAATCTTACTAAAAAGTGAACAAATCAATTCCTTCGAAACAGTCATTGTAAGTAATATACTAATAATAGAAATTATAAGTATTAATAAATATAAATCTTTGTATAAAACCATTAAATATATTATAATAGCACTATTATTATAAAATCAATACGTCAAACTAATACAAAATACAAATCAAATTAATTTAAAAAAATATTTTAATATTTCAAATTTCCAATCTACCTTAAATATTTAAACATTAAATTTATTTTGCAGTAGGTACCTACCCAAGATAAAATTATTTTAGTCACCACTTTAATATCTATTTAAAAAATATTTTTGAATAAATAATAATACCACACCAATCATTTAGGATTATGTTTTAAATCCAACAACATTAACTATAGAAGAACTATATGGTAAATATGATCATGCTACACATGAATGGGTGGATGGAATTTTTTCGTCAATTGCACGTAAAATTTGTTCTGGTAATTATTACAAACTATACTTCATTGTAGTTATAGTTATATTTATAAATTTAATGTATACAACTTAAGACTCGTTTGATAGAAAATTCTATAGATAATATTTTTACAGTTTTTTTCTTAGCATAATCATGTAACATTTTGATATGTACACAAATTTCAATAAGATATTAAATTATATTTATAAATATTTCAAATAGATAATGGATTAGAAGAAAAATGGGTGATATTAGATGGACCAATCGATAGTCGTTGGATTGAAAATATGAGTTCTATAATGGATGATACTAAAATTTTAATTTTAGAAAACGGGGAACGTATTTCAATACCAAAACAAGTAATTATATTATATTATATTATATTATAATTTTACCACTTAGAAATTATAATTATTAATATATAAATACATTTTTTTATTGATAAAAATTTACTAAATTCGACTAAATTGAAATATTAAATATACTTAAAATAATGTAAGTTTTGTTATAAATATCTTTTTATATTCCATTATAAGTATATGTTTTTACATATCCATTATTATACCTTATTTTTATACATAATTATATGATTTATACCTACTCATTATTCATATTTTGAAAAAACTCTTTTAAAAACATCAAATTTAATGATTTATTCTCATGAGAATATATCAATATTACTTCTGATAAATTTAGAGTAATTATTGGTGATGTTACGGTGATTTTAATCAACGTCCATCTAATAAATAACATAAAACTACAACTAAATACTCAAGTTTTAATATTCTTTTTATATTTTTACTAGATAAGTAAGATAATGAATTTTTTAGTATGTATTTTTTGTAACCTTTAAATGCGTTTTCGTGTCTTTGACTTATAGTCCATACGTTTTGATACATTTCATATTTTTATTTATCTTTTAAATTCAAAATGTTTGAATACATCTACATCTTTTGTACTTTTTATAAGGTACATATCTTTAATTTACAAATAATATACCTACTTACATATACTAAGTCTTTCAATACATCTTACATATCAAGGCAATTATAATATTGTAATATATGAGAACTCTATACACTTAACACGTAGGTTATGATAGAAAATTAACTTACATATTTTACACGTTGCAACAACTTTTTTTTGCTTATAAAATATGTTTAAATTATCCTAGGTATCTTTTCTTTTCGAAGTAGAAGATTTAAAAGTTGCATCTCCTGCAATTATTTCGAAATGTGGTATTGTTCATAACAATCATGACGATTATGAATGGCGATTATATGTCAACTCATGGTTGGATAGTTGCAAATTTAAGCTATTTAAAGATGAAGTAATTGATTTATTTATTGATAATTAAAAGTTTTTTATTTATTTTGAAAAATTATAATTTTAGATAAAACTTAATTTTGAACATTACGTTGATGATTTGCTTATGTTCAAAAAGTTAAACTGTATTGAAATAGTTTCTTTAACGGATCAAAATTGTATAATATCTTTGTGTAAGTTATTAGAGAGCTGCACCTTTCACGATTTAGCTAATAAAATTCCTAATGAGTTAAACGATATCCAATACAAGTTTTTAATTAAGATTTGGTTTATTTTTTGGTACGTATTATTAACTATGTTAATTATTTATTGTCAAAATATAACAATTATTTAATAATTTTACCATAAATAAAATAAAATAATTTATGCACTTACAATTTTATAAATTATAAATAAAATATATTGTTTCTTAAACAGTATGATTTGGTCAATATGTGGTTGTGTGAGTGAGGACGGAAAAAAGAAAATTGATGTGTACATTAGAAAACTAGAAGGCGTATTTCCTTTAAGAGACACAGTTTATCATTATTATGTCGATACTAATTACTGTAAATTTCAACATTGGGAACAAAAACTTTCTATTAATACTCCGTGGAAATATGATCAAGAGTATAACTATAATATTAAACACGCAAAATGTATTAAAAATATCTTATTAATACATGTTTTATTTTCAGGGTACAATTTTCTAAAATAATTATTCCAACGATAGATACCATTCGCCACGACTATTTAATACAATCATATTTAAGTAAAAAACAACCAGTTTTGTTAGTTGGACCTAGAGGATGTGGCAAAACATTGAACGTTAAAAATTCATTTGAAACTATGAATAAAACAGAATATTCTTTCTTAAACATTAATATGACAGCTACGACTTCATCTAATGACATTAAAGAAACGATTGAAGATAAATTAGAAAAACGCACCAAAGAACTTTATATTCCCCTAACTGGTATTATTATTATTTTTTTTTTTTATATAAATATAAGTTATATTTTTTAATTCTATAATTTCTAAAAGTTTACATAATGCTATTCTAGGAAAAACAATGGTTATGTTTTTGGATGATGTGCATATGCCTATAAAAGAACCTTGTGGAGTACAGCCTTCCTTGGAATTAATTAGACATTGGATTGACTATGGATTCTGGTATGACACAAAAAAACAATGTCCAAAATATGTTAAAAATATGCTACTCATATGTGCTATGACTCAATTTGATAAAGTAAAACACTTTATTAGCAATCGAATGTTAAATCGTTTTAGTGTGATCAATATACCATCACTCGAAGAAAACGATATCTATAAAATATACAACACAATACTCAATCAACATTTAAATAAGTTCGATGAAACTGTGTCAGAATTAGGTACAGTCGAACATTATAATATTTTATAGAATACTTTTAGTTTAGAATTTTCTGAATATCGTATAATATAATTTATTTAATTATCGTAGGTAGTGGATTGACTTTGATGACGATAAGCCTTTATAAACATTTAGTGATTAGCATGACTCCAACACCATCAAAAATGCATTATTTATTCGATTTGAAAGATATTTCGAAAGTAACAATAACCCCAAATTATTTTTATGACTGAGTAATACTATGAACATTTTTTACTTTTAAGGTATTTCAAGGTTTACTCCTTAGTAATGTCAAATATCAAAATTTTAAAGTGCCTATGTTACGACTTTGGTGCCATGAAGTATTTCGTGTTTTCTATGACCGTTTGGTTGATACAAAGTAAGCCATTTTAACTTTATTTTGTAGCAATATATTATAAAATATAATTTTTTCAAATTATTGCAGTGATCAAAAATGGTTCTTAAATCAAATAAATCAACATCTTGAATATAATTACCATTTAACATATCATGATTTATTTACATCGAAAAAAAATCCAATATTCTTTAGTTTTCTAAATGATGAAATGCTGTACGAAGAAGTTGTAGATGAAGAAAACTTGAAAAAATGTATCCAATGTTGCATAAAAGAATATAATTCTAACTCGGAGTTTATGCCAGTAGACATTTTGTTATTCAGAGATTTTATAGAACATATTTGTCATATCGTTAGGGTTATATCTCAACCCATGGGTCACATACTTCTCATAGGCATTGGTATATTTTAACAGATTTTTTAACGTGTCACATACGAATAAATAAAATATTATTATTCTTAGCTGGATCGGGTAGATCATCTCTAGCAAAAATAGCGTCGTGGTTATGCAAATACAGTATTTTTACGATTGAATTATCTAAATCGTATGGAACATCGGAGTTTAAAGAAGACTTAAAATTGATTTATTCCGAAACAGGAATAAAAAATCAACCAACATCATTTGTATTCAATGACACACAAATAGTTGACGATTCTTTTTTGAAAATCATTAACAGTATTTTAAGTACTGGAGAAGTAACACAGTTATTCAACGAAAATGAATTAGAAGAAGTAAAATAGTTATTTGACTGAATATCATTTATATTATCATGAATTTCAATTATGTGCCTATTTTAGATCAAAAATGCGTTATCAGATAATATAAAAAATACAGCCGGAGCTGTTTATTCAGTTTTTATAGACAGAGTTAAAAAAAACCTACACTTTATATTATCTTTCAGTCCTATAGAAAAATCATTTAGGTAAGTAATAAACACTGGGTTGTTTTTGTATCAATAGCATTTTATTTTATTGAACATATTAATAAATAATTAGTAACTATAATTTATTATTCAATATTTTGTATATATTTTACCATACCTATAATATTTTATAACGTATATCAGGTATACACGTACTAAAAATTTTAAATTTTTTTTATTTATTATCTTATATAACAGAATACGATTGAGGCGATATCCCGCATTATTAAATTGTACAACAATTGACTGGTTTTTGGATTGGCCAAAAGAAGCTTTATTTGAAGTAGCATCAACTTCTCTCGATGGTTTTGATAATTTAACAACAATTACTGAAGAACAAAGAGTAAATTTTTCAATATCTGCTTTTTCATTAATTATATATTATAATATTTATGCTAATAATGAGACAAATTTACCACAGTTAAAATATTTTTTTTATTTATCTTTGAATAATTATGTTAAATTTTATTGATATCCCTTTCATTTATTTAAGATTAACACAATAAAGAAATATTCTATTTTAACAAATTATAATTTCTTCAAATCGTCAAAATATATATTTTTTAATTTAAAATTTGATTCGAGAATTCCAAACTTTGTGATTACTAGCTGTTGTCTAATTAGCTGATTACTCTTCATGTTTTAAAAAATAAAAATAAAATTTTTTAAGTAGAAATACATATTTAAATTTTAAAACATCAAAAGTTCAAATAATGCTTTAGATTCTATGATCTTAATTCAACTGATTTCCACTACTAATGTGCTGTATCATACATTTCAATAGCTATATGCATATTATTAACTACAGTACATATTTATTAATATTAATATAAATATATTATTTATACGGGTAACTACTTATAACCATAAACGTGCGCACAAGATATTCAGAGTAACCCTTACGGCTTGCATACTCTATCAGTAAAAGCAGACACTTTATTTAGAAGACATAATATAAACACATTCCCAATAGGTATAAAACTGTTTAAAAAGAAAAAATAACAAAATTTGTGTTCACTGCACTAATTGTATAGTTTTAATAATCAATATCACTTCCAAAAACACGTCTCTTCAAAAATATGTTTTTATTTTTCAAGATAAATTCAATATTATTTCTACGTTATAAAAACAATAACAATAAAAATTATTATCATAAATATTTTAAGGCAATAAGTACAAGCATTTATTAAAGGCCATTAATATTTTTAAAAAAACGCATTTTATCAGCAGCATATACTCTACGAATCAGTGACCAAAGTCTAAGAATTCTTATTTTTATAAGTACTTTTGTATGATTTTATAAGTATTTAATATATTATTGTTTTGTAGAAATAATATACCAGTAAAATATTTTCAAACATTTGTTTTAATAATATTTTTACAGGCACGTGGAGAAGAAAATGAAAGAATAACTTGGGTAAATTATCTATTAATATTTAAAAAATGTGTTGTTATTAATTAATATTAACGGATTTAATACAATCTTAATTTTAAAGGATAAATTAAAAAGTTCTTTAGCATCTATTTTTTCTTCTATTCATAATTCTGTAATAGAATATTCCAACCGAAATAAAGTTGAATTGAATTGTACAAATAATGTAACACGGGCTGTTTATTTAGAAATGATATTTAGATACAGAAAGTAAGTTTAAAAATGAATAAGACTATTTTTAAATACATTTATATTAAAATTAAATTTCACAGAATTCTTCACAAAAAACTTATTGAAAAACAAAATACACTAATTAAATTTAGAAATGGCTTACAAACAATTAATGGCATAAGTCATAAAATAAATGATATGACAATGGAATTAGAAAAAATCACAGAGCTTATTACAAAGCACACTAAAGTATGCGAAGAAATGTTAATAACTATTTCTCAATATACTAAAGAAATTGAAAATGAAAAAAAAGAAAGCTATATAATCTCTAAAAATATGAAAGAAGATGAATTAAAATGCCAAGAAATGTACGATATAGCTTTAGCAGAATTAAAACTTATAGTCTCTGAATTAGAAGAAGCTACAAATGTATGAAATAAATTAATTTTTATAAAAATTGGAATTTATAAATGAGCCCGTTATTTTATTCACAGAAAGTATGTGGTCTTAATAAAAAAGATCTCTCAGAAATTAAATGCTTCTCCGTACCACCAGAAGGTGTAAAATTAGTTTTAGGAGCTATTATGACATTAAAACAAGCTGATCCAAGTTGGGCAGAAGCTAAAAGACAACTAGATGATCCTAATTTTCTACAACAGGTAATAATCACACTATGACTAATTTTAATACTGTGGCAATAAATGAAACTAAATTAATAGATATAATTAATTTCATAGTTAAAAGATTTCGATAAAAATCACGTAACCGATAATATCATGAAAAAAATTGATGTATTCATGAAAAATCCAGAATTTGATCTAGAAAAAATCGGTCTGCAGTCAACAGCTGCTAAATCTTTAGGCATGTGGGTCGTTGCTATTGAAAAATATGCTAAAATGTATAAGTAAGGATATAAATTACAAACAATAAATTATTTGATGAAAACTTTGATCAACGAGAATATTTTAAAATAGAACTATTACACCTAAAAGAGTGGCTGCAGATTTAGCAATGGCAAAAGTTAAAGAAGAACAAATTTCCTTCAAAGAATTAGAAGAAAATCTGTCAAAAAAACAAAGTCTACTTGAACAAAAAAAACTAGATTACGATGAAAAAATTATTGAAAAAGAACAGTTTATTACTAAAGTAAGTTTTATTATAATACATAGCAATAAAACTATTACTCGGTACTCCTTATTATTATTATTATTAATAGTATTTATAAGTTGTACATAACTACAACTACTAATAAGTAATACCAGGTACTATGTAC